CAAACAGAGACAATTTGACTTCCTCTCGTCCTATTTGAATACTCTTTATTTCCTTCTCTTGCCTGACTGCTCAGGCCAGAACTTCCAATACCATCTTGAATAAGAGTGGTGAGAGAGGGTATCCTTGTCTTGTGCCGGTTTTCAAAGGGAATGCTTCCAGCTTTTGCCCATTCAGTGTGATGTTGGTTATGGGTTTGTCATAAATAGCTCTTATTATTTTGAGATATGTTCCATCAATACCTAGTTTATTGCGAGTTTTTAGCATCAAGGGATGTTGAATTTTATTGAAGGTCTTTTCTGCATCTATTGAGATAGCCATGTGGTTTTTGTCATTGGTTCTGTTTATGTAATGGATTATGTGTATTGATTTGCATATGTTGAACCAGTCTTGCATACCAGCGATAAAGCTGACTTGATTGTGGTGGATAAACTTTTTGATGTGCTGCTGGATTCAGTTTGCCAGTATTTTATTGAAGATTTTTGCATTGTTGTTTGTCAGGAATATTTGCCTGAAATCTTCTGGTACATTGTGTCTTTGTTCTCACCGGTTTCAAAGAACATCTTTGTTTCTGTCTTCATTTCATTATTTACCCAGTAGTCATTCAGAAGCAGGCTGTTCAATTTCCATGTAGTTGTACAGTGAGTTTTTAGTGAGTTTCTTAATCCTGAGTTCTAATTTGATTGCACTGTGGTCTGAAAGACTATTATTATTTCCATTCTTTTGCATTTGCTGAGGAGAGTTTTACTTCCAATTATGTGATAAATTTTAGAATATGTGTTGTGTGGCACTGAGAAGAATGTATGTTCTGTTGATTTGGGGTGGAGAGTTCTGCAGATATCTATTACGTCCACTTGGTCCAGCGCTGAGTTCAAGTCCTGAATATCCTTGTTAATTTTGTGACTCATTGATCTGTCTAATATTGACAGTAGGGTGTTAAAGTCTCCTACTATTATTGTGTGGGAGTCTACATCTCTTTGCAGGTCTCCAAGAACTTGTTTTATGAATCTGGGTGCTCTTGTATTAGGTGCATATATATTTACGATAGTTAGCTCTTCTTGTTGCATTTATCCCTTTACCATTATGTAATGTCCTGCTTTGTCTTTTTTGATCTGTGTTGGCATAAAGTCTGTTTTATCGGAGACTAGGATTGTGACCCGTGCTCTTTTTTGCTTTCTATTTGCTTGGTAAATATTCCTCCATCCCTTTGTTTTGAGCCTATGTATGTCTTTGCACATGAGATGGATCTCCCGAATATAGCATACTGATGGGTCTTGACTCTTTATCCAGTTTGCCAGTCTGTGTCTTTTAATTGGGTCATTTAGCCCATTTACATTTAAGGTTAATATTGTTATGTGTGAATTTGATCCTGTCATCATGATGCCAGTTGGTTATTTTGCCCATTAGTTGATGCAGTTTCTTTATCGTGTCATTGGTCTTTATATTTTGGTTTGTTTTTGCAGTGGCTGGTACCAGTTTTTTCTTTCCATTTTTAGTGTTTCCTTAAGGAGCTCTTGTAAGGCAGGCCCAGTGGTGACAAAACCCCTCAGCATTTACTTGTCTGTAAAGGATTTTATTTCTCCTCCACTTACGAAGCTTAGTTTCGCTGGATATGAAATTTTGGGTTGAAAATTATTTTCTTTAATAATGTTGGATATTGGCCCCCACTCTCTTCTGGCTTGTAGGATTTCTGCAGAGAAATCTACTGTTAGTCTAATGGGCTTCCCTTTGTGGGTAACCTGACCTTTCTCTCTGGCTGCCCTTAACATTTTTTCCTTCATTTCAACCCTGGTGAGTCTGACAACAATGTGTTTTGGGTTGCTCTTCTTGAGGGGTATCTTAGTGGTTTTCTCTGTATTTCCTGAATTTGCATGTTGGCCTGTCTTACTAGGTTAGGGAAGTTCTCCTGGATAATATCCAGAAGTGTGGTTTCCACCTTGGTTCCATTCTCTCTGTCACTTTCAGGTACACCAATCAATCGTATGTTTGCGCTTTTCATGTAGTTCCATATTTCTTGGAGGCTTTGTTCATTCATTTTCATTCTTTTTTCTCTAATCTTTTCTTCATGCCTTATTTCAGTAAGTTGATCTTCAATCTTTGATATCCTTTCTCTACTTGATCGATTCCACTATCAATACTTGATGTATACTTGACGAAGTTCTCATGCTTTGTTTTTCAGCTCCATCAGGCCATTTACGTTCCTCTCTAAAATGATTATTCTAGTTAGCAGTTCCTGTAACCTTTTATCAAGTTTCTTAGCTTCTGTGCATTGGGTTAGAACATGCTCCTTTAGCTCAGATGAGTTTGTTATTACCCATCTTCTGAAGCTGTCATCAATGTCATTTTCTGTCCAGTAGTGTGCTTTTGTTGGAAAGAAGTTGCTATCATTTGGAGGAGAAGAAGAATTATGATTTTTGGAATTTTCAGTGTTTTTGCACTGGTTTTTCCTCATCTTCGTGGATTTATCTACCTTTGATCTTTGAGGCTGATGACCTTTGGATGGGGTTTTTGTGTGGGAGTCCTTTATGTTGACATTGATGTTGTTGCTTTCTGTTTGTTAGTTTTTCTTCTAACAGGCCCTTCTTCTGTAGGTCTGCTACAGTTTGCTGGAGGTCCACTCCAGATCCTATTTGCCTGGGTATCACCAGTGGAGGCTGCACAGCAGCAAAGATCACTGCCTACTCCTTCCTCTGGAAGCTTCGTCCCAGAGAGGCACTGGCCAGATGCCAACCAGAGCTCTCCTGTATGAGGTGTCTGTCAACCCCTGTTGGGAGGACTTTCCCAGTCAGGAGGCACGGGGGTCAGGGACCCACTTGAGGAGGCAGTCTGTCCCTTAGCAGAGCTGGTGAGCTGTGCTGGGAGAATCCCTCTTGTCGGAATCAGCTGCTCTCTTCAGAGCCAGCAGGCAGGAAGGATTAAATCCACTGAAGCTGTGCCCATAGCTGCCCCTTCCCCCAGGTGCTCTGTCCCATGGAGATGGGGGTTATGTCTGTAAGCCCCTGGCTCGGATGTTACCTTTCCTTCAGAGATTCCCTGCCCGGTGAGGAGGAATCTAGAGAAGCAGTCTGGCCACAGCCACTTTGCCGTGCCCAGCCCAGACCTCCCAGCCTCCTTAGCACTGTCAGGGGAAAACTGCCTACTAAAGCCTCAGTAATGGCGGATGATGCTCCCCCCACCAAGCTCGACTGTCCCAGGTCAACATCAGACTGCTGTGCTGGCAGTGAGAATTTCAAGTCCATGGTTCTTAGCTTGCTGGGCTCCATGGGAGTGGGACCCACTGAGCAAGACCACTTGGCTCCCTGGCTTCAGCCCCTTTTCCAGGGGACTGAACAGTTCTGTCTCACTGGGGTTCCAGGCGCCACTGGGGTATGAAAAAATCCTCCTGCAGCTAGCTCAGTGTCTGCCCAAACAGCCACCCAGTTTTGTGCTTGAAACCCAGGGCCCTGGTGGTGTAGGCATACGAGGGAATCTCCTGATCTGCAGACTGCAAAAACTATGGGAAAAGTGTAGTAACCCAGCCAGGTAGCACATTGTCTCATGGCTTCCTTTGGCCCGGGGAAGGAGGTCCTCGGCTCCTTGCACTTCCCAGGTGAAGCAATGCCTCACCCTGCTTCTGTTCGCCCTCTGTGCGTTAGACCCATTGCCTAACCAGTTCCAATGAGACGAACTGGGTACCTCAGTTGGAAATGCAGAAATTACCCACCTTCTGCATTGGTCTGTCTGGGAGCTAGCTGCAGACCAGAGCTGTTCCTATTCGGCCATCTGGGTCCCTCTCACAAAGTGATTTTTAAGAACATAAAATATTTCAAAATAAATATGATTCTATCTTATAATTTTAGTTTGTAATTAGAATTTTGCAAAGTTTCTAAAAAGTTTCACTACTAAATTTAGGGCACCTTTCAGCTGTCTTGTCTTTTTGTCAAAGAACAGTTATAGAATTGTGTTATCTTAACTGACCTATCATTTTGAAAGCCTCACTGAAAATTAGAATAAGATATTTAAAGTACATACTTTCATCCAAGTTTTGCATTATGCATGATGCTGGGATGAGTGGTTTACAAAATATATTTAAAATATTCCTATCCTATGGATCTTATAACTAGCACTAATAAAACTGAGGTGACTCAGTGATTTGCCCTTTTATTGTCAAATATAAATACACCAGATGAAAAAGAAAATAGAATATTTACACCAAGTACATTCACTAATATAAACATGTTTGTGGTGAAGAGTTAGGATTTACATATTCATACGGGGTTAAGATAGAAACAGAATTGGGAAGATAAGAGATTTCACTTTCATATTTGGTAGTTCAGACATCCTTCTTAAAGAGTTCAATCTACTTTGATAGCAGGGGAAATTTTTGTTTCTGAGGATATTTCGGTGCTCTGAGGTAGAAAAGGAATATGTACAGGATCTCAGACAACTGGAATTCCCATGACCTCCCAGCTGCTGAGGGAAGAATCTCCAGGCCCTCCCAGGGACCCTCAGCCTGGAGCTCCCGACAGCCACTTCTGGGTTGGGTGGAAAGGCTTCAGGACCAGCAGGGAAGGGAAGGCCATGATGGAGTTTTGTATCCATGCATGTGGGTTATTTCTTTCCTGAAACCTGGAGACCGGAGGCTACCTAAGTCAGACAATGTGAGTATTAAAAAACTTCCTGTAGCAATAAGAGCATCAAGAACATAAGATGCATTTTAGGATAAGAGGAAAAAAAATCATTCAAGGACTCGGAACTTAAGGGTTTTTCCACGTTTTTGAAGGTTGTAAAAAAAAAAAAACTGGACATGAGATGTTCAGTAATTGCTTTGGGAATTCTTTTCTTGGAAATACCATGCTCATTGTTAGCCATGCAAAGCAGACTTTCTTGGTTCTTGACTATACTTCAAATTTTAAAAAGTTATCTCATTTTGTTTTAATTATTTTAAACGCCAGTATTTATTATTCCTTAATCAATATATCAATCCATCAAGTCATCAGAACATTTATGAATTCAATCTTACTTTTATCTGGACAAGTTTAATTTCATCAAATCTTATATCAGCAAGAGATTTCCTTTTCTGGCCTCTTCGGTGTCCAAATTTACACTTATTTCTAATCACTTGCTCATCATCTTCTATGGGTCTTCGAACATATTTAAAGCGATCTTTGAGGGCTCGTTTCCATAAAAACTGTAAAATAACACAACAGGCCAGTTAATCTTCAAGGAGATTGAGATAATCCTATATAAACAATACACCTATGCAACAACAATACATACCTATCATCTTTGGGCTTGAAATTATTTTCACATCATAGTAATAGAAATAATATTTATTTATCTATCCTTCCTTTTACCCTCACAGCAATCTTGTGACACTGCTACAGAAATTATAAACCCTAAGTTATAGGTAAGAAGACAAAGTCACAGAAATAGAAATCTTTTCCCAGTGTCATATGGTTATTGAGTAAATATATTGGTTCTTGAACTAGATTTTCTAATTCCCAAAAGTGATACTTTCCGCTAGACTCTGCTGTCTCCACAACCAACTCTATTTTTCTAGAGGGTTCTAGAAAAGACCTGATAGTGGCTTATGGATTGATGCATTTTCTTTAAAAATAATTTTCTGTCACCTTTTGAAATTTGTTTTGGTGAGTACTACTGGCATTCACTCCCTAAGTATCTGCGGCGCCTCTACTGTTTCAAACACAAAGACCAAGTCCCCACTCTGGGAGGCAGAAGGGTGTAGGTGGACCTCACTTTCAGTGTAGCAGAGGGATGAGTGATTTTAATATAGAGTGAAAACTATTATAATAGGGGAAGATACATCATTCATTTACATTGTGTTAGGAGATCATAAAAGCCTTCCTGTAGGAAGTTCTTGAATCTAAACTGAGGCTTAGGTCTTAGGGTCAGGTAACTGCATGAAGGGATGGAGATAGCATCAGGGAATGCCGGTTGGGTGGATGCACAGAAGTTCCAGGAGGATGAAGCTGCATGTGCAATGGAATGGAGGGAGAGCTAGTGCCCTTTGGAGAACTACCAAGAGTTTTGCGAGGCTGGAGCAAGAGTTTTGCGAGGCTGGAGCACAGAGCTCAAGATGAGGGAATGATAGAGGATGGGGTAAAAAGTAAGGTGGGAGAGAGGAGCCAGCCCAATCATCAAGGGCCATGGTCACCCCATTAAGGAGCCTCAATGTAATCCTGAACCAGATCTTAAATCTGTCTCTGTAGACAGGCTATATTAGAACCTCATAGGAACTTTTGCCTTTGGTCTTTCCTCTAAAGCAATGGTTCTCAAAATTTAGCCTGAATCAATTCCTGGAGGACCTGTTAGAGCACAGTTTGCTGAGCCCCACTCTCAGCGTCTTTGATTTTGAGGTCAGGGGTAGGCTGAGAGTGTCCTTTTCTTGCAAGTTCTCATGCGATGCTGCTGCTTGCTACTGCTCGGGACTACACAGATGCTGGTTCGGGAGACTGGAATGGAGCCTAGATGTCTGTATTTTTTAAAGCTCTATAGAGAATTCATCAGAACAGCCAGGATAGGAAGTATTCCTAGGCCATGTTGAGTTGGGAGAGTGAATGGTCAGATTTGAGCTCTGGAAGGATCTATCTGGCATGTGGAGTTTTTGTGAGACCAGAGACATGGACAATACCTAGGAAGCACCCCTGGACTTCTTCCTCAATATGCCAACATCTCTTCCACCGCTGGGCCTTCAGTTTGGGCCTGGAAAGCTTTATCCCTCTCTTCCCACACCTAGCTGGTATGTAGTTGACCCTTGCTTTGCCTTCGGGTCTCAGCTCAGCCTGTGCTTCATGGAAGCCTCCTCTGGCCTCTGTAACAGCTTGGCGTTGGAGCTCCCCTTTCTTCACTGGCACTTACCACAGTGGTAATCTACCCTCATCTATGTGATACTTTGTCTGTTTCTATTTCTACTTCTTTTTCTTTCTTCTCTTTTCCTTTGCCTGCCTTCCTTCCTTTCTTCCTTCCTTCCTTTCTTCCTTCCTTCCTTCCTTCCCTCCCTCCCTCCCTCCCTCCCTCCCTCTAGGCTATAAGCACACAAAGAAAGGCTCATGCCTGCTTTGCCCACCAAGTCCAGCATAGTGCCTCATGCATTCTGGAAACTATAAATGTTTGATACCTTGTGTCAATACTCTATGAAGCAGGAGATGCAGATGTCAACAAGACAGACCAGAAGCAAGACTCTGAGTCTTGGCAGTGCTTAGCTGGTAACTAACTCACTGCATGAGTGGTGGCCCATCGCTGCTTCTTCTTTTATTTATTTATTTATTTATTTTTTGAGACAGAGTTTCACTCTTGTTGCTCAGGCTGGAGTGCAATGGCACAATCTCGGCTCACTGTAACCTCCACTTCCTGGGCTCTAGCGATTCTCTTGCCTCAGCCTCCTGAGTAGCTGGGATTACAGACATGCGCCACCACGCTCAGCTAATTTTTTGTATTTTTAGTAGAGATGAGGTTTCTCCATGTTGGTCAGGCTGGTCTTGAACTCCCGACCTCAGGTGACCCACCCATCTCGGCCTCCCAAAGTGCTGGGATTACAAGCATGAGCTGCCACACCCGGCTGGCTCAACCCTTCTTGAAGTCAGTGACTTAGGACTGCTTCTGCTGCTCATCTCCCCTGCAATGTCATGTGCTTGAATAGATCCCCACACTGAGTTCAGGCAAGGAAAAAAAAAAAAAAAAACCCTTGCAGGCATATAGGCCTGTGTTTCCCTCTGAGCCCTGGCCATGAGAGAGAGTGGTATGTCACTGAGTGGCTTTGGGCATGTTTTCTAAGCTCTATTTCTTCACAGGTCAAATGGGATGCCACCAAAATAACATTAGCCAAATGTTTGGCACTTAGATTTTGCTATTCCTGGTTATATGGTTTGTAAGTCCCAATAAGAGTAATCCTTGAACGCACCATAGCCTAAGTTGGGAAGACTGCAGGTCCAAGTAGCTAGCCTGAATACATATTAGCCAAGTAACCCCTCTTAATTTCAGTTTCTTCAACTATAAAACAGAAAAATAAGATATGTCCTATTAAGTGCACTGGCTTTTTGGGAGACTCAAGTGAGTAGTTACTCATTGAAGATATCTGTAAACTCAAGCGCTGTTTGTAAAGTCCTTCCACAGCCCTAGTAAGAAAGGCAGTGGTTGAGGGCTGGAGTACCGCTGCAGCGCTGATTAAGCTCCCGGGTATGCATGAGTCAGAGATGCCTTGTCACCTCCCACAGGCGTGCTCTTGAGCTTGGACTTCACCATTGCTGTTTTACAACAGAACAGACAAAAAGAACGGCTTGTATTTTTCTTAGCCATGAAATATGAACTAGTGCAAGTACAGTACATTTTTTTTTCCATGTGTTTCCTACAGCTCTGAAGGGTTTCTAAACATGCTGAACCTGGCGGGAGGTATTACAGCAATCAACGACTAGGACATTTTTAAATTGCCAATTTCTTCTTTCTAGGCTCTCCTGTCTCTCTTTATTAACTGTCTGATAGGAACAGAAAAAGGACAAATCAAATACAATCTTCCACATGAGTATGCAATCAATGAGTATTTACTGAGAATCTGCTATACGCCTGACACCGTGAGTTACTTACACAGATGCCTCAGGTAGGCAGACTCAGTAGGAAATATTTGTGTTACAGAATAATCATCCCTCTCCTCCACGTTTCCAGCTAGAGAGGGTGTAGAAAGTTCTACATGAAGACAGCTCTCTGTCAACCACTCTGAAATAAAAAATGACCCTGAAATTGCAGACCTCCTGTTGTGACATATGAAGCAGTCCACAGCATCACCAGCAGACCCTTTGCACATTCAAACGCAGAATGTGGACCACCTTACATGGCAACTGGACTAGACTTGTCCAAAAAGCAAATATGCGGAAAAATAAAAAAGGGTTTGGAGAGACTGTCTAGGCAAAAAGAAATTAAAGAGACATAATAACCAATGCAATGCATAATACTCAATTAGATATCATGGCAACAAATTATTTTTAAAACATTTTTGAAAAATGGGAGAAATGTGAATATGGATTATATATATTATGCAATTATTGCTAATTTTCTTGGGTATAAAAATGGTATTGTGGTTATATAAGAGACTGTCCTTATTCTTTTTTTTTTTGGAGATGAAGTCTCGCTCTTGTGCCCCAGGCTAGAGTGCAATGGCGCGATCTCGGCTCACTGTAATCTGTGCCTCCTGGGTTGAAGTGATTCTCTTGCCTCAGCGTCCTGTGTAGCTGGGAATACAGGCACTTGCCACCATGCCCAGCTAATTTTTGTGTTTTTAGTAGAGACGGCGTTTCACCATGTTGGCCAGGCTGGTCTCGAACTCCTGACCTCAGGTGATCTGCCCGCCTTGGCCTCCCAAAGTGTTGGGATTATAGGTGTGAGCCACCACACCCGGCCCAAAATTTTTCAAAATAAAGAGTTAAAAATAAACTTAGCCCTAAAAATAACCAAGTTTGTGCATTCTTTTTCTTTCTCCACCCCTGCCTCCCATTAATGTTCTCTGAAATTTTGTACATTTTTCACTGTAACATTAGAAACACAACCTCATACACTTTTGCAGGGAGAATTTGGGTAAACATCCATCCAGGCACCAGATGCAAATCTGAGCCCTAATCTGCTAAGCAATTTTGCACACGTCTCTTTATCAGTTAACTGGTCTTTAGTGAATGTCACTGGGAACAGATGTGGATAAAATGCACACAAGAGCAAAGAAAGCAGTATTTGTTACTTTGCATGTGTCTCACTTTGATAACCATGAAACTAAAGGTCAAACGGTATTAGATCAATATGGATTTGCTTATGTATATGCAAAGATTCTCTAGAAGGACTCTAATAACATTGGTTACTTCTGGGGAGGAAAATTAGGTGGCTGGAGAAGCAAGGGCAGGTGGGAAACTTTTCTATTTATACCCTTTTGTAGTTTTTGAATTTTGAACTATATAAATATGTAATTTATTCAAACAATAAATGTAAATTAAAAAAAACACACACACACAAGTTGTATCCTGGCTAACACGGTGAAACTCCGTCTCTACTAAAAAATACGAAAAATTAGCCGGGCGTGGTGCCAGGCACCTGTAGTCCCAGCTACTCGGGAGGTTGAGGCAGGAGAATGTCATGAACCCAGGAGGCAGAGCTTGCAGTGAGCTGAGATAGCGCCACTGCGTTTCAGCCTGGGCGACAGAGCGAAACCGCATCTCAAAAAAACAAAAAAACAAAAAAAAAAACCACAAGTTCTATACACAGTAACACTGATTAGATATTAAGTCGGTAGATGTATCTCGAGTGTGGAAGAAATTCTGAGACTCAGTTTTGTCAGCCATATTGACATGATTGTCAATGTTGGGGCGCCAGGTTTGTTTAGCATTGTTGTTGTCGTTGCCTTGTTGTTTTTGTTTCATTTTGTTTTGTTTTTTAGAGGAAATTCAATTTCTTCTGTAGTATGCTTTATATGCAGCGGCATATTTTGGAAAGGATGTCATCCTAGAAGCAAGAATACCTGAATTCTAATCTTGGCTTCAATAATTACTATTTTTCTAGACATGGTATACAACATCTTTCCTCAGTCTGAGTGGTGAAAAAAAGCTTTAATGGCCTCTCCCATTGAGAAAATTCTGTGATTCTCTCCATATATAATGAACCTTTTCTTTAAAATACAAAAAAAGAAGGAAGGAAGGAAAGAAAGAAAGAAGGAAGAGAGGGAGGGAGGGGTAAATACAAATAAGGAAGGAAGGAAAGAAGGAAGGAAGGAAGAAAGAGGGAGGGAGGGAAGGAAGGGAGGAAGGAAGGAAGGAAGGATGGAGGATGGGAGGAGGGGAGGGAGGGAGAAAACAGCCTTAAAATATCCTTATATACATAGATATTGGCATTTATCCTTTGTTGTTCTTGGAATTAATTGCTGAAATTCCATGTCCTTAAGAAAGCACAGCAAAAAAATATCTTTTCACAAACATCTGAGACAGTAAAGTACAAAAAGACATCTGTCTTCTTTAGATATGACTACCAACGTGTATGCACATGACATATAGATACAGGAAATAACAGACAGTCTACCTTTACATAGCTACCTATACATAGCTATAGCTCTTTGTAATTGTTCCTTAACTCATATAGTTACAGCGTCAAAAATCAATTTTTTATTAACTATTCTTAGGTACAGTTCAATAGTGTTAATTATATTCACATTGTTGTGCAATGAAGACACTGGTCTTTGAAATCCAGGAGATAGGCAAGTTCAAACAGCAAAGTTTGTTTTGAAATATCAGTGGCAGTAGTTCTCAGCCCTGGTTGTACATTAGAATAATTTCGGGAAATTTAAAAAATGTTAATGACAGTGTCCCATCCTCAAATTAATTCAACCTGAATCTCTAGGAATCCTAATGTGCAACCAGAGGTTAGAACTCCTGCCCCAGAGAATTGCTTGAACCCAGGAGGCAGAGGTTGCAGTGAGCTGAGATCGCGCCACTGTACTCCAGCCTGGGTGAGAGAGCGAGACTCTGTCTCAAAAAACAAAACTAAACTAAACTAAAAAACAAAGAACTGCTGCCCCAAAGTATCCTGGGGGTCTGTTTTTATCAGGACAGCAGAGATGTGACAGGGCCAGGTAAGGTTGGAGGCCCGGACCTCAAAGCCAGACAACAGCTCCACTGGGTCTGAGAAGGCAAGAAACACCTGATGACAGCTCTGAAGCAGGTGCAGCCATGTCTTTCTCTTTCTAGGTGTCACATCTCCTAAAGACCCTTCCTAACCCTTAAAACCCTTAAGATTCTAAAGTGAACAGCTCGGTTAATTTTAGCAACTTTATATGCTTGTGCAACCATAATCACTGTCCATTTTGGCCACCCTCAGCCCTAGGCAACTCTTGATCAGCTCTGTTACACTGAGCTTCAAGTTTTGAGAGGGCAGCAATATGATGATGGAGAGAGACAAAGAAGACAAAGAAACACAGGACAGAGAGAGACCAAGAAGTTATGAAAAAGGGAAGACAAGGAGACAGACAAAGAGAGAGAGAGAGAGAGAGAGCACGCGTGAAGTCAAGAAAGAAGCATGGACTAACAAAAAGTGAAAGACAGAAACAAAGTCGGAGAGAGACCAAAGAGACAAAAAAAGAGTCAGAAAAATAGAAACAGATAGACGTAGATACATAGAATGGGAGAGAGAGAGAGAGAGACATCAAGAAAAGATGGATGAAGCATAAAATTACTGGGCAACACAAGGCTATTATTTTAAGATAGTCTGAAATTAACAGAATGGTGCCAGGTGGTCACTTACAAAGCCACAGCCGTCCTCATCCAGGAAAGGGTGGGCCTGCAGCAGGGCATTAACTACGTCATTGTACTGCTGAGTGCTGGGGTACCTGTTCACCAAAACAAGAAGGATATGTTTCACTTCAAGCAGCCTACATTCCTTCCTTTAAGATGAGTCTAAATTACACACATTTTTCTTCACATTTTTCTACATAACAAAAAGAGATTCAAATATTGGGCAATTTGGGACCTATTACCAATATGTCATCCACAATCTGAAGAGAGTTGATTCCACGTGAATTCTACTCTATTCCGAAACAGACCCTTTCCCAAAGCAGCAAGCCTGTCCTGTAGTCACTCACAGTGAGCCTTCCAGATACTTAGTCATGTCGGCCTGGAGAAACTCAATGATCCTTATCCTCATGCTGTGATCCGGGCACTTCTGCTCTGCTAACATGCATTTGACATCATAGGGAAACTCTGGTAAAACATAGGACTTCGTCCATTGTAATGCTTTGCTTCTAGCTAGAATATGTTTCACATTTCTTCTGTGAAATAAAAACACACAAAGAATGAAATTCTATTCCAAATATATGCAATTTATTAATTTGCTACATCCTGAGAACTTACGAAATAAACAACTTTTCCGAGACCCAAATATATGGAAGTCATCAAGCTATCTTCCATCCATTCATCCATCCACAAATGTTTGAAGGCTCATTAAGAGTCTTTGTCCATTCACACACCACATATTTATTCTTTAGAAAAAGTCATAATAATATAGACTTTAGAATAAAGCCTGAAGCTGAAATGCATACAAATTCATTTTTCTTAAAGAGAAAATGTAATGCATAGCTCAAAACTAGACAATATACTTGACAAAAAGAAAATACATTGCAATTCAGCAAAGCAAATGAGGCCTACCATAAAGTCTTAGCACCTGTTAAGAAAATTCTTCTAATTAATTTATTCTGCTGCTGTTTATAACGAAATACAAGATCTACCTAATTTAGTTGGTCTTTGCCTATTTTGATAAGGTGAACTTAGTTTCTAAATTAAATATAAATAACAGATATTCCAGTTCCATCCAGATGAAATTTCTATGAAGGGCTACAGAAAACTATAACTACAGGCAGGCGTGGTGTCTCACGCCTGTAATCCCAGCATTTTGGGAGGCCAGGGCGGGCAGATCACGAGGTCAGTAGATTGAGACCATCCTGGCTAACACGGTGAAACCCCCTCTCTACTAAAAATAAAAAAAATCAGCCGGGTGTGGTGGCGCGCCTGTAGTCCCAGCTACTCGGGAGGGTGAGACAGGAGAATCGCTTGAACCCAGGAGACGGAGGTTGCAGTGAGCCGAGATCGCACCACTGCACTCCAGCTTGGGCGACAGAGCGAGACTCGGTCTCAAAAAAAAAAAAGAAAAAAACTGTAACTACAGAAGGCAGATCAGGAGTTGCCTGGGGCTGAAGGTGGATAAAATGGGTAGTGATTATTTGTTGTACAAGCATATAAAGCTGCTAAAATTAACTGAGCTACTCACTTTATTTTTTACTATAATTTTTTTTGAGACAGTCTCACTCTGTTGCCAGGCTGGAGTACTGTGTCACAATCTCGGCTCACTGCAACCTCCGCCTCCCGGGTTCAAGTGATTTCCCTGCCTCAGCCTCCCGAGTACCTGGGACTAGAGGTGTGTGCCACCACACTGGCTAATTTTTTGTATTTTAGTAGAGATGGAGTTTCACCATGTTGGCCAGGATGGTCTCAATCTCCTGACCTCGTGATCTGCCCACCTTGGCCTCCCAAAGTGCTGGGATTACACGCGTAAGCCACTGCGTCCAGCCAATTTGTTTTTTTTAGACAGAGTCTTGCTCTGCCATCCAGGCTGGTGTGCAGGGGTGCAATCACAGCTCACTGCAGCCTTGACCTCTTGGTCTCCAGCAATCTTCCCACTTCAGCCTCCCGAATAGCTGGTACTACAGGCACGTGCCACCATGCCCAGCTAATTTTTTTTATTTTTTGTGGAGGTGGGGTCTCATTATGTTGCCCAGTTTCATCTCGAACTCTAGGCTCAAGCAATCCTCTTGCCGTAGCTTCCCAAAGTGGCGGGATTACAGGCATGAGCCAACACAGCCAGCCTCTTGTTCACTTTAAATGGGTGAACTTTATGCTATGTAAATGAAACATCAATAACGCTGTTTATAAAATTATCAGAACAACATTCAAGCCTTAAAGTTAGTGACTGACCACTGAGTGTGCAAAATGAAGACTCTATAATATTAATAAAGTATCCAACTAACATTGAATCAAAGGCACTATGTAGCTCTTAACCCATTTATAAATAGGATTGATTGTGGTGGAAGTAAAGAAACAGAGGCAAGCCAAGTAGAAGACAACAGGAAGATTTCCTAAGTTGGCCTAAGTAGGTTAATTTTCAGATATCCATGGAGCCCAAAATTCAGATGAATTTTGAAAGGCTAGGGTTCTTTTAGCATTTTAGGTCATCCTTTATAAGAATGCATGAGCTATAATGTGATATGGAGAATCAAGCACACAGGAGAAAGCACTCTGACATCCCTTTTTATGACAAGCTCCCTTTCCTTTTTCCTCCCTTTGGCGGTCCCCACTATATCAGTGGTGAAATTATGTCCTGGCTAAGATAAGCACACCAATAACTTAATACTTAATACCACAACAGGAAATTTCCAGATTTAAGTCTCTGCTGTAGCCCAATCTGTTTTCCAGTATGTTTCTCTTTCATTTTGTTCATTCATTCAACCAGCATTTATTGGGGGTCTACTAAACGCCAATTACTCTTTCACAATCCTCATTTTCTTCCATATTCTATTACTTTGTTTCTTTCTCCCATGGCCAAATTACCCCTCCTGTATCTACTGAGACCAAGGAATATAAAGTAATGGCCAGTTTTGTTGGATGTCTTTTGTGCATTCCTGGGAATTTTTTTTTTTTTTTTTTTTGAGACTGAGTCTTGCTCTGTCGCCCAGGCTGGAGTGCAGTGGTGCGATCTCAGCTCACTGCAAGCTCCGCCTCCCGGGTTCAAGCGATTCTCCTGCCTCAGCCTCCTGAGTAGCTGGGACTACAGGCGCCCACCACCATGCCCGGCTAATTTTTTGTATTTTTAGTAGAGACAGGGTTTCACCATGTTGGCCAGGATGGTCTCAGTCTCCTGACCTCGTGATCCGCCCACCTTGGCCTCCCAAAGTGCTGGGATTACAGGTGTGAGCCCCCGTGCCCAGCCCTTCCTAGCATTTTTTTAAAAGTGATGTAACTTGGCAGGTGTTAAGCTGGTTTCAGTAATCTTAACATCTATCTCTTTTTTCCTAATAATTTTCAAGTAGCTAAATTAGCTGCCTGCCAGGTCCAGGTTTTGAAGTTGTTATGTTACTTAGTACCACCTCAACAGATAAGTTCAATGTTCCAGTGTTATAAAATAAAGCTCGTTACGCTGTTTGTCTTTTTATTCTACATACTTCCCCACCTTTTTTTTTCAGTGTCGGGGCAGAGACTATACTGCATGGTGTTATTTCTCTCAAACATCCAGAATGTAGCTAGACGCATAAAGGATCCAAGAAGACAGATACTCCATCTTGCTCTAAATAGAGTAATGTATTAGGAAAGATCAGAAGCATCAAATTTTCATTTTCTTTACATTAAAACAATGTAAGAAGATACTCTGGAATTGACTAAAAACCAACCCATGCCACCTAATGCCAGTCAAAATGAGTATTACACACGAAAAGTGATTCATCAGAAATTAAAAATACATTCTAATTTGCAAGTAGATAACTGCAGGCAAAATCATTTCTCATCTGTAAAATTATATTTGCACTGGATTAAAAAAAAGCTTTACTGTGGGGTTAAGATTATTCATAATATTTTTATTAAGCTGGAGTTGGGCAGAACACCAAAATAAGTCAGCCAAAAGTAAGGGCAGAGAGCAGACGGCAGTTCAACCCAAAGGCCGGTTATATTACTGTTCCCACCTCAGAACCAGGCTCTTTGACAAAATCAGCACCACAAAACAACAGATATCTAGCCCGAAGTATCTCAATCCTGGGTGCATGGCAAAATCAACCAGGAAGCTTTTAAAACATGTTAATGCCTATAATTGGCCCCTGGCTAACTGATTCAGAGTTCACTGCTTACTAAACTCTCAGCTTATGTGTAGAGCTTATATTTGTAATAAAATAAAACTTACAGTAAAGTTAAGACAACACATTTGATAATTGGCCATATCATTATTGTATTAGGTGCTAATTTAAAAAATGATTAGATGGTGTTTTCATGAAAAAGCTAATTGACTCTCTAACATTTTCTAACTTTAGTAAGAGTGAAAACATATCCAATTCTTACCCTACTTCCAAAGAGCATATGGTATACTCTGATGAGGCTCACACAGGGTAGGAAAGATGGCTCTGTTAAGAACGGGCTCAGGTGAGCACCAGCTCTCTAAAGAAAAATCTGAATGCACAAAACAGCAGTTGGTAGAGAGCAGAAGAAACACAGATGTTACATGGGGGCGGGGACTATTTGTTTAATCTCCAGTGTATATAACATTGCTTAGCAGAGTTGATAATACAGTGATTTTTTGTTGAAAGAATAAACCAGACATCTGAAAGAAGTAGCTATCTAAGCAGGGCAGAATTTGATTTGGTCTGGGCAAAGATATGGACACTTCACTGGTCCGTGATTGCATTCATTACCCTGTAGATTTGGCTCCCCATTTATGCTCTAGGCATGTCTTTCAAATCACTTTCATTCTGCTTTTCCTTAACCTCTCTTACCTGACTCTCTTCCCAACCACCTCACCTGGACTGCTTCCTCAAAAGTCAATAATGATTTCCTAATTGACCAATGCAGGGCCTTTTGACCACAGCCTTTTATAAGACCTTTGTAACTGCATTTAGTGCTATTGACCACTTCCTCACACCCCTTTTCTTCCTTATCTTCCTTGACACTGTTTCATTTTCCTGCCTCTCTTCTGTTCTCTCTGACAACTTGTTTATTTGCTGATTTATACCTCCTTTACTTTCTGTGAGAATTTGCACATGGCTGGGTTCCTGCCCGCTTAATCCTCTGTATTGCTCTCTGCTTTCTTCCTCAGAGACTCACCCAGCCCCATGACCTCAGCTCTGAGCTCTATGTTGATGCACTGTAAATCTATCATCAATAATCTGTTCTCCATGCTCCATCTTAGATCTCCAACAACAACTTGTACATTGTTTATCTTATACTCAACAAATCCAAAAATAATTAATAATCTTTAAAAAAACAAACAAAAAAACCCCCAAAAACTAGGCTCTCATGTTCTAGGAACTGAACTGTGTTCCTTTCAAATTCTGTATGTTGAAGCCCTAACCTCCAATGTGACTGTACTTGGAGATAGACCTTTATGGAAGTAATTTAGTTAAATGAAATCATAAGGGTGGGCCTTGAGATGACGGGATTAGTATTCTTAAAATATCTGTATGCCATGTGAGGTCAGAGAGAAAATGTAGCCATCTGCAAGTGAAAAAGAGGGTCCTCA